TTTTTTGGCAAGTGGGAGGTTTATATCACGAGCCGAAGGCGAGTGATATAATCCCACGAGCTAAAAAACATTTTTTCACGAGTTACGAACAATATTTTTCATCACAATGTGGCGGAAATTGGACTTTGAGGCACGTGGAGCGTGCCGAAAAGTTCACTTTTCGTCACAGCGTGATGAAAATTAATATACACACCTCACCATGGAAAACACATCACCCTGCCCCACGTGCTTGCCGTCCTCGCCTTCGGCTCGGAAGACAATCTTGCACGTGGGGGACGCTGATCTGTTTTCCAAGGCTCGGGCATGTAATTTACTATTTCATAATAGCTTCCCTTAAATAGATTTATACTTGTAGAATTGGAATTGTGTGTTTCAATTCAACTAAAAATTTCGCAATTTCTTTTCTGTAAAGTATTTTCGAAAAATCGAGCGGTTTTTTCATCTACAAACTCCACACTTCAGATTCTGCTGGGCCCATAGTACGCAGAAACCTCTTCAGAAAATTCTTGTGTTGGATAAATGTCGCAGGGTGCATTTACAGAAGAATGATAATGAAGAGAAAATGCAGTGAGGTCATGAGTAACCTTAGTGTACCCGCAGAGGGTTAACAGTAAATGATTTACGTATCCACAAAGACGTCTTATCTCTTCACTCTATATAATAAAAAAATAATGAGATTTAGCAATTCAGACCCCCTCTACTGGGTTCCCACTTTGTCGTAGTGAGGGGGCTCGGTCGCGGGCGGTGGAGGTTTTAAGGACTACCGCTGCCCGCGGTCGCTAAGAGGAGTCCACCCAATCCATGTGTGTGAGCGGCGTAAGCCATGGCCTCGGCCATACCGTGCCTAAGGATGCGTGGCACAGGGGGAGCTGTGTCGCTAACGGTGCCTCTCAGAAACCTGGGCGACCTCTGAGAGTAGTCTTGGGTGTAACCCACCCGAGACAAGCCAAGCCCTGGGCAATCGCGGCAATGCACCAGGTGAAAACGCTTAACCGCGGTACTCGTGGGACTAAAATGGAAACCAATTTAAAAAATCTTAATATTGAAAAAGCAACTTCGGGTGGGGCCAGCGATGGCGAACACACGAAGTCTGACAAGGCTGACCAGTCTGGTACCGATGTGAATCGGGTCAGACTGAGTGGAGCCGAGAGAAGACGTCGCAAGAGAGCGAAGCTGCATCAAACCTCGGGGGCGATTGCAACCTTGACGGATGCAGCAGCGAAGGTCGATGA